TTGAGATAACTCCCATATTTTTGGCAACTCTTTACTTTTGCAAATTCCTCCTTTAGCCTGCAAAACACATTATAGAACAATTAAATGTAGATGAAATTTATTCCATTTTGCATGCAATTATAGGCAAAAACTACAAATATAACACTAGATAATGGTGGTCATAAATATGAACTAAAAGGTTTGCAGAATGTATTATACGAAAGGCTATATCTAAAGCTCAATTTAAAAGATATATGAAAGCTCAATAATAAGCTAATTAAATGTTTCATTATCCATGCAATTACTCAGGGATTTCATTCAGTTTACTGAATAATGTGGGCAACAGGGCAGACAACATTGCTCATTCCTGCTCACATCAATTGATTCAATACTGCAAGACCCTAGTCATTATTATAGATGTGTAACTAATATTCAAATCTGTGTGTGAAGCTACTTCACACAACTTCTAATTGAAGGCAAAGAAGCCATAGTCCCCATAGATGTTGCTTCAATATAATATATTTTATAGAACTCTCCTTTAGGGATATATCTTTTAATTCCCTGTGAATTCAATATTAAAGCAAAATTGACATTGTCCAATGAGGACAGAGCAATATTCATATATATGCAAAGAACTGTGCTTTTAATAAATAAGATATCGGCAATACAGAAACAACGACATCTTTATCTTATAGCTGTCTTTTATAACAATCAATTTATATTTGAAAAACTCACCATCTAAAAAATAAATAAAGTTTCACAGAGAAACAAATCGGTATTACAAAACGACGAAGTTCACTTGGATTAATTTAGGCCGGCCAAGCAGCTCAAAATTAGACTTCCAATTTCAGTGATAAAATATTATATTTCCTTACATTTCCTTACTCATATATAATAGAGCCTTTTCGATAATTACGTCACAACCTTACCGTTTAAATTGGATTTAAACGTTTTAGATGGATTTAAAGTTTACTCTACAAGCTACGTGGAAAGATGCAAAACATCCTTCTTCAAAACATGCATGAAAAATAATTTTTAATTTTGACCATAAATGTGGAAATAAGTCGTAACATTAAAACGAGACTACCAGGCAACGACCAGCAGCCTCGTTCTTGTGTTACGGTTTATTTTCCACTTGTTTGCCAAAAGAGAATTGTTTTTCATGCATGTCTTGAAGAAGGATGTTTTGCATCTTTCGACATAGCTTGTGAGAGTAAAACTTGAAATACATCTCATTTAAGTTGGTTCTAAATTTAAAACGGTAATGTTGGGATTGGTAAAACGGTAATGTTGGGATGTAATTATCGAAAAGGGTCTTTGGTTTCCCCCTTTTAACGTTAAGGCGGAAAAATAAAGGCCTGACATTCAGGTTAGTTAACTAAGGGAAAACATTGGTTTTAATACACCCTGTTTTACAACAGTTAAGCACCCTGTTCCGAGATAACACAAAAAACGCACAAACAGTAAATTAAGAACAAAAACGTGACAAATATGCGAATTTGTCAACATTGGTGTTACTGCATCATTGTTTTACAGCAGTTAGGGCACCCTGTTGCCACAATAAGACACAAAACGCACAAAACAAACACATTAACAACAAAAACGTGTTAAATATGTGAATTTGTCGACATTGGTGTTACTACATCATAGTTTTACAGCACTTAGGCACCCTGTTACCAGAAGATGGTACAAAATACGCACAAAACAGTAAATTGGGAACAAAAACGTCACAAATATGCGAATTTGTCAACATTGGTGTTACTACACCATAGTTTTACAGCACTTAGGCACCCTGTTACCAGAAGATGGTACAAATACGCACAAAACAGTAAATTGGGAACAAAAACGTGACAAATATGCGAATTTGTCAACATTGGTGTTACTACACCATAGTTTTACAGCAGTTAGGCACCCTGTTACCAGAAGATGGTACAAATACGCACAAAACAGTAAATTGGAACAAAAACGTGACAAATATGCGAATTTGTCAACATTGGTGTTACTACACCATAGTTTTACAGCTTAGCACCCTGTTACCACAAGATGACACAGAAACGCACAAAACAGTAAATTGGGAACAAAAACGTCACAAATATGCGAATTTGTCAACATTGGTGTTACTACACCATAGTTTTACAGCAGTTAAGCACCCTGTTACCACAAGATGACACAGAAACGCACAAAACAGTAAATTGGGAACAAAAACGTCACAAATATGCGAATTTGTCAACATTGGTGTTACTACACCATAGTTTTACAGCAGTTAAGCACCCTGTTACCACAAGATGTACAAAACGCACAAAACAGTAAATTGGAACAAAAACGTGACAAATATGCGAATTTGTCAACATTGGTGTTACTACACCATAGTTTTACAGCAGTTAAGCACCCTGTTACCACAAGATGTACAAAACGCACAAAACAGTAAATTAGGAACAAAAACGTGACAAATATGCGAATTTGTCAACATTGGTGTTACTACACCATAGTTTTACAGCAGTTAAGCACCCTGTTACCACAAATGTACAAACGCACAAAACAGTAAATTAGGAACAAAAACGTGACAAATATGCGAATTTGTCAACATTGGTGTTACTACACCATAGTTTTACAGCAGTTAAGCACCCTGTTACCACAAGATGACACAAAACGCACAAAACAGTAAATTAGGAACAAAAACGTCACAAATATGCGAATTTGTCAACATTGGTGTTACTACACCATAGTTTTACAGCAGTTAGCACCCTGTTACCAGAAGATGGTACAAATACGCACAAAACAGTAAATTGGGAACAAAAACGTGACAAATATGCGAATTTGTCAACATTGGTGTTACTACACCATAGTTTTACAGCAGTTAAGCACCCTGTTACCAGAAGATGGTACAAATACGCACAAAACAGTAAATTAAGAACAAAAACACAAATATGCGAATTTGTCAACATTGGTGTTACTACACCATAGTTTTACAGCACTTAGCACCCTGTTACCAGAAGATGGTACAAACGCACAAAACAGTAAATTAAGAACAAAAACGTGACAAATATGCGAATTTGTCAACAGTGGTGTTACTACACCATAGTTTTACAGCAGTTAGCACCCTGTTACCACAGATGACACAAAACGCACAAAACAGTAAATTAAGAACAAAAACGTGACAAATATGCGAATTTGTCAACATTGGTGTTACTACACCATAGTTTTACAGCAGTTAGCACCCTGTTACCACAAGATGACACAAAACGCACAAAACAGTAAATTAACAAAAACGTAAATATGCGAATTTGTCAACATTGGTGTTACTACACCATAGTTTTACAGCAGTTAGGCACCCTGTTACCACAAGATGGTACAAATACGCACAAAAACAGTAAATTAGGAACAAAAACGTGACAAATATGCGAATTTGTCAACATTGGTGTTACTACACCATAGTTTTACACAGTTAGCACCCTGTTACCACAAGATACAAAACGCACAAAACAGTAAATTAGAACAAAAACGTGACAAATATGCGAATTTGTCAACATTGGTGTTATACACCATAGTTTTACAGCAGTTAAGCACCCTGTTACCACAGATGGACACAAAACGCACAAAACAGTAAATTAGAACAAAAACGTGTTAAATATGCGAATTTGTCAACATTGGTGTTACTACACCATAGTTTTACAGCAGTTAGCACCCTGTTACCAAAGATGGAACAAAACGCACAAAACAGTAAATTAACAAAAACGTAAATATGCGAATTTGTCAACATTGGTGTTACTACACCATAGTTTTACAGCAGTTAAGCACCCTGTTACCACAGATAACACAAAAACGCACAAAACAGTAAATTAAGAACAAAACGTGACAAATGCGAATTTGTCAACATTGGTGTTACTACACCATAGTTTTACAGCAGTTAGCACCCTGTTACCACAAGATGACACAAAACGCACAAAACAGTAAATTAAGAACAAAAACGTGACAATATGCGAATTTGTCGACATTGGTGTTACTACACAAGTTTTACAGCAGTTACACACCTGTTACACAAAATGGCAAATACGCACAAAACAGTAAATTAACAACAAAAACGTGAAATATGCGAATTTGTCAACATTGGTGTTACTACACATAGTTTTACAGCAGTTAGCACCCTGTTACCACAATGACACAAAAACGCACAAAACAAAATTAACAACAAAACGTGACAATATGCGAATTTGTCGACATTGGTGTTACTACACATAGTTTTACAGCAGTTAGCACCCTGTTACCAAAGATGGTACAAACGCACAAAACAGTAAATTAGGAACAAAAACGTGACAAATATGCGAATTTGTCAACATTGGTGTTACTACACCATAGTTTTACAGCAGTTAAGCACCCTGTTACCACAAATGGTACAAAACGCACAAAACAGTAAATTAAACAAAAACGTGACAATATGCGAATTTGTCGACATTGTGTTACTACACATAGTTTTACAGCAGTTACACCCTGTTACACAATGGCAAAAACGCACAAAACAATAAATTAACAACAAAAACGTGTTAAATATGCGAATTTGTCAACATTGGTGTTACTACATCATAGTTTTACAGCAGTTAGGCACCCTGTTACCACAATGACACAAAACGCACAAAACAAAATTACAACAAAAACGTGACAATATGTGAATTTGTCGACATTGGTGTTACTACACCATAGTTTTACAGCAGTTAGCACCCTGTTACCACAAGATGGTACAAATACGCACAAAACAGTAAATTAAGAACAAAAACGTGACAATATGCGAATTTGTCACAGTGGTGTTACTACACCATAGTTTTACAGCAGTTAAGCACCCTGTTACCACAAAATGGTACAAATACGCACAAAACAGTAAATTAGGAACAAAAACGTGACAAATGTGCGATTTTGTCGACATTGGTGTTACTACACCCTAGTTTTACAGCAGTTAAGCACCCTGTTACCACAAGATGACACAAGCACAAAACAGCCAAATTAGTATACTTTCATATACCTTTAGTTAGCAATATATATAGAACTTGACATAAGTAAATCCTCATATCTGTTTATAATTTCCACGGCCAAAAAATTGTTGCCTTGACAAAGATATTATATTTTAATAAGTCAAAATATAATATACGACTTCAAAAGGGTATTGTTCCAGGACGCCCTTAACTTTACGAAACAAAGTTGATTTTGTACAGAATTCAGAAGTTGTGTTTAAATAATATAACGACTTTTTAGGATTTAAAGCGAAGAAAATAACTTTACGAATTATAACATTTTACAACAAGCACGAATAATTAGGGACGTATCGACCATCTTAGGTGTCAAACTCCCATTCGGAATAGATACTCTCATTGTCGTTATCAGTGTCACTGTCGGTTTCACTATCCATATCAAAATTTGTATCTCTTTCCAGCTCATCCTCCACATCTTCATAGGATTGCTTAGTATTGTCATTGTGCGACTCAATTATGTCCTGGAATCCAGACAATTGTAAACCGAGAACTGGCAAGAAAGATTGGATTCCAAGCCTTAATTGTTGCATGGCAAAGTTAATTCCTTCGTTAACCAAGGCAAGCTTTCCTCTGACAATGGTCCTTTTGACTGAGCTTGTAGAATAGGTTTTTGCCTAAAATAAAAAGATTTCAATATACGTTACATAAAAAGCAATCGCATAGCTTACAGATGTGGCTTACAGAAATGTCGAAAAGGAAATTGCGGACCTAAATAACTTTTAAATTATCGCATCTTCGCATTAGATACACACAATTAACACCCAATAGACCTTCCAAGAGCTTACATAATGGCCAAACAATAAAAAATGTGCGTCCATGAGAAGGTATGTACGGCGTAGGTTTTTAGCTTTTTGATACACCATGCATGTAATGCAGTATAATTCCAACCATAACATTTTGCTCGTATACAAGAAACTTCGTGCTTCGTGAAGATGGTTACAATATGGTAGCTGAAATGTTCACTGCATGATTCAGGATATGGGCTATCCACAAATATGCATAAATTGTACTTCATCACCCTTTAAACCTACAAAGTAATTACCGCCGAAAAACATACCACACACACAGCACTTTCCACCGCAAGAACAGGCTGTTCACCACCACATTGGCTGCGACTTTTACCTATATGTTCGAAAATTAAAAATAATTTTAAGCCTGGTTTTCAGATGTCAAGGGCCACCGACACAATAACCATCGTCAAAGAATTACGTTATATGAAAACCAGCCTTTACACCTGCAATAAAAATTTGGATCTGTTGCATTTAGCCGAATAGACTGCAGTTCAGTCAAGGTTATATTGCTTATGTTCTTTGACGCGCAGCTCACAGAGTTTAAAAACATAATTTACATTTTTCCAATAAGGACAAAAGCTTTTTGCAATCGATCGCTGAAAACATACTCTATATTTCACAATTCTAAAAGTGACCGGGAAAATTACCTTGCAGCAGGTTTTCCAATTTTGCAAGTTCGCTATAAAGTGCCGGAAGGCATTTCTTGGTGTAATATTCAAGGTATTGGAACATTTCCTTTTAGTAACTTCGATTTCCTCCTGAAACCGTTGAATTTCCATCAACTTATCCACCACAGATCGTCTCGTTACCAAAGGCACTATTGTATGAAAGGCACAATATATTCATATATAATGTACTACGCGTCCGGCAATTTATAATTATGTACGTACAAGTTCTATTTGCAAGCCTGGCTCAGTCTGTATACGAGAAACAGTAGCTACTCACACTCATCAACTGGCTCGTTCCGAGAATTCCATGGAAACTTTCCATTTAAAATTTCTTCTATGTTGCTTAGCGGTTCGTCTGCAATTCGATTATAATTTGAAATCAAAGAATGGATACTCTCTTTCTCTTTGCTGATCTTTCTCCTTAACTTATTTCGTTGCTTCGAAGAATCTTGAAGAAAATAATATTTGGTTAAAATGTTACCTTCCCTTTATCCCGCATGTGGAGGCTAATTTTCCGCGGTTTCGTTTTTTATGGGTGTTTTACTCGCACGGAAACGTTGGCTTTAAATGTTACTACTGAAATAAAGGAAGAGACACTGAAAATGTAGCTATTAAATGTAGAACCACCTGCAAGTTTTGCAATGTTAAATGCCAGATGAGAGATCGCGTTATGATGGAATTCCATATTGTATCTCAAATATTCCAAAGATTTATTTTTTAAAACACCTTCACCAAAGGAATAATTGCGACAGATCTTGGGCTGAAACTGTTTAGATTTTTCCTTATAAATCTTTTCAGCAACGTCAAACAAGGCCTTCTCTTTTGGCGTTAACACATCTAATGTGAGCAAATGACATATGTATTTCATTTCCTCCGGAGTTATGGAATATCTTTTATTTCTCGATTTTTCATCCACTGACATAAATTTGAAAGAGAAAAAAGAAACACGTCGTCATTGCACGAAAAAATTACACCAAGACATCGCATTCTGAGAAGAGCATACCTAACGTTTTTAGTTTTATTATTTATAATAATAGATTCGCCACAGTATCATGTACTGCATGTAAACTGAACAAAAACACAAAATTCTATACGTACGTTTAGCAGCGTCAAATATATCTTCTTTCCATTTCTGTAATGTTGTTGGATCACACTCAAGTTTCTCTGACATGCTTTCTAATTCTTTCTGCATGATGGCGGTTTTATCTTTAGCCTAGAACCATGCATATAAAAGTACAGAACACATTATTATTTTTCCAAGAGAAGATTATACATTTCAGTACTCCCCTTTCCGTGCATGGGAAATTTGCATTGCATCTACATATTTTTCAATCCTCCACGCTTTAAATTTCTACCCACACCTTTTTTTTAATAAATTTGTTTCTGTCTTATTTTTTGACGAAAACTACCGAAACGGATTTGGCAAAGTATTTGTAGCTATGTTATGTGACAAGGGGGATTTCGTTTTAAACTATTCGGCATATTTGCTTACACTTTTTAGGCTAAGCCAATCAGAATGCCTAAATTTTTAATACATCATGTAAAATGATGATTATTCTGATTGGGTTACTGAAAATGTAAACAAACTTACTGATTGGTCTAAAACGAAATTTCCCTTGTTATGGTTTCCCTTGTTATGGTATAGTTACTATTACTATTAGGTAAAAAATAGAAAAATTAATAACTTTTGTATATCTTTTCGCAAGAATACTTGACAGTTTGGTTATTTTTCTTTTATTCCACTCCAGTGCATGTTCAGTCAGCAATTCCTCTCGTCCTATGTATGCATACATCAGAATTAAACGTTTAACTGGTTTGATAATTTTATTGCACATGCTTACCTTCAGGTAACATATGCTTGGTAGTGCACCCTAACCGCGAGAAATGACTGTTAATCTGTTCTACTTCCTCTCCTGTTGTTGCAGAAGCGCCATCTTGCCATCGCCCTCCCCAAATAACCTGCAAAAAAGATTACACAATGGACACTGCACTTGACTGCACACTTGCCACGTACGAAATATAATAAGCACAAGGAAATTTACCTGGCAATACCAAGCATGTGCTTTGGCATGCATTACGGAAAGAGCAGGTTTCATCTTTTGAGATGTGGTTACATCATTTTTACACAGCCAAGGCCAATACTTGCAGATGACATCATACCAGAAGAATTGTGTTGTACGACGAAGGTAATATTCCTTTTGCATATAATGTGCATAGCCATACACTTCTCCGTGCTTCATGCTAACTGCATGCTGGGCAACACTGTGACGACAGCCAGCAATTTCTAGCCCAGTTTCATCAACAATTTTCTTTTTCTTCAAAGTATTTCCAGCAGCATGCCAAATAGAATCGCCACACTTAGAATCATCTGTGACCTAGGGTAAAGTATAGCCGAATTGAAACAGCTCGATTTTAGATTATTTTTATACGTACAGTAGATCCACTTGGTATAAAAAATCTAAATATTTGTTACAAATCATAGCATTACGGTCAGAAACTTCCCACACCAAATGTCACACATTGATATTTAATGGGACTATTGTTCTATAATTGTTTTGAGGTAAACGAAAATTCGTATTGTTTGAGAAGACAAATTGTAACAATACCTTTTCCTTTCCTTTTTTGTAAATTTTACAGAGATGATGTTGAACTTTTTCATTTGAAGCAATAAAAGCATCTCCATAGTAGCAATCTCTTTTCCTGCTAAATAATTTCAATTTATCCTCTTTAAAACATACATATGATGAAATAACTTTGAAACTCTTTCTAGGTGATATACAAGACGCATTTCAGTTGTATATGAGCTGACGATTTCCCTCCAAGCTAGTGCATTCCTGCAATGCATCGTCTGTGATTCAGTGTACAAAATGTACTTACATCCCAGCAGATTTGTACCGATAAAGTTTCATGTTACCATCCATGTGAACGGAGTGTTGCTGCTGTTCACATGCAGGGCACTCCATCCAGTTAATATGCCGTAGTTTGTTCAATTCATATTGGCAATATTTCCATTCACGAAAAAGCTACCAAATGTTTTGCTGTTAATTGTTCCCATCTATATAAAAGATAGAGAAAGATACATCAAACTAATATCTGTACAACTATTTAACTACTGAGGCAATTAGCAAACATAATCATAAAAGAACAGGATTCCATTTTTTGCATGAAGCGATACATTGAAGTTGATACTTAGAAGTTGGTTTAAACGTACCCGCCCTTTTTGTATCGAAAACATTTCTAGTGATTTCACAAAACTATTTTGAGAAATTCCAGGAACAATCTTCTGTAAATCCCAGAAATGAAAGAGATCTTGGTGAAATACATATGTCATGTCACGAATAGTTCCAGGCCAAAACCCCAGCTGTATTAAAACATGGGGACTTGTTGATGAAATAACATTGTCACATTGTTTACATTCATATTTTGTGTGACTAATGTCGAATCTACCTGAAGATATAATAATAAATATTTAACCAATTAGCACAAAAATATAAGTTTTGAGTTCCATGATAGAGATCAACATTTGGCCTATAAAGCCTATCTGAATAGCATCATCTGGTTTGAATCTTGCAGGAGCTAGGTTCAGCCTACATAATGTATCATTTATAGCTACAGTATAAAACTATAGAATCTATTTCAGAAAGACAATGTTTTTGTGAATAAAAAAGACAACTAAAATAGCATACCTTTCAATGTTACAGCAATGCAACCCATACCCTTCTCATCATATAAAATATTGCAAGGAAATAGGCATGTGGGACAAATAACATCACCAAATGGAAGGGACCGTTCTAAAAATACATAGACAATTCATATATTTTCAGAAACTGTTTGAAGAACCCTCTAAAAATGGCAGAACTTTCCTACCAAGGGAAAACATTATCTCACACCTAGAGTTTCACAAAGATGCTGAGATAATACAAAGATAATACTGACTGGTCAATTTTTTTTACAAATTTCATGTGACAAATATGTTTCTGTGTTTCTTTATTTGAAAAAGACCTAATAAAATTTTTTATGAGAAAATTTGCCAATGAATATTTACTCATGTAAAATGAACTTTAGGTTTGACATAAATGCTAAATAGATCATGCTAAATTTCATATTTAAAGAGCATCTTGAGAGTATCACGGTCACAATGCACCTTTTGACACAAGGTATAAGTTACATCTTTTTAGCCATGCTATAATATTTACCAACAGTAATCCATTCCAGTTTGCTGTTAATTGAGGCTGTTGGAGGAATAGGTTCATGAAAACCATTCAAAATTGCATCTCGATCATGAAATGGATGGTTCTTATGGTTCTCCTCATCACAATCCCCACAGACATATCTATGTGAAATGCAGTCTTGACATCCAATAACTGCCATGGCATCTTTACAGCTTTCGCATAACAATTCATCAAAAATGCCAATGGAAAATTTAGTTTGCAGCAAACTTCGATTAAACTACTTCTGACTTCCTCCCAGCTTTCATAAAGGGAATTTTGTCTTTCATGCCAGGTTCGTTTCTTTTGCTGACCACCACATTTCCAGTTACATAATAATCCTTTTGCTTCTTCAAGGATATCATTCATTGTCACATCTAAACAAAATCGATGATACTGCTTTAAAAATGAGCTGCTAGGTAGAATGCCACAAAATCATTGTACACCATATTACACCATTAAGTTTAATATACATTCGATAAACCAAGTTTTGTAAAGTAGCAGGGTCTTTAAATTCCAATATATAAATGCATAAACAGTATCCATATTGGAAAGTTTGCAATATGTGTGAATGATGAGTCACAATCTTCCCTGCACACAGCCAATCTAGCAATGTGGCAGCATGTGTATAATGTCTAGTCAGTAGTCACAGAGGACACAAAGCTATACGAACGTTGTTTAGATAATAAATATTGACTTTTAGCACATCATATTTTACAATAGCGGTTCAAAATGTCAACAAAGCGGATTAAAAACTTCACAGCATTTTTAGCTGTTGTAATTGTACATATTTATATTAGATCCATACCCTCTACAGCGTTTGTCGTTACATCCATATCTGATTCACGATCCAATAAACTTACTTCTGGTGGTTCTTGTTCTACGTAAAAAGTGACAAAATAATAAATCATCCGAATGATGGGACCTATCTGGCGTAGGTTCTGTGTAAAATGTTACAAACAGAAGCATACCTTGGAAAATATTATCGCTGTGTTCCTCTAAGTTTTTTGATCTTGAACTAGAGGCGGTATCATCGCGATTATAATACTTTGGATTGTAAGTATTTTTGCAACTCCGTTGGCCAGTTTTTGGATCCGTGCTATACTCATAATGAATAGGCTTTCTTCTCTTTTTTCGCTTTTCTAAAATATCATTACCTTGCCTAATAAGACAATCCATGGAAGGGAGTTTCTTCTTGCGAGCATTGGCAGCCCTTTCAAAATTCTCCGCCATTGTGAAAGATTTGAGTTGGTTTTGACCCAGTTTCTTTCCGTTTCATAATGCTCGGCCACGCGTCGCGAAATTATTGTTTTAGTAATTTCGGATGTGTTTAAGAATTTATTGATATAATAAATTTAGAAGTGGAGCTCATGTTGAGGAGACTAGGTGGATGATCGAAAACGCCTAAAAAATATGGTTACCGTTTTAAGCTATATGCCGAAAGAGCTCAGGTGGGAGAGCGTCAGACTGATGATCTGAAGTTCCCTGGTTCTATTCCGGGTTTCAGCAGGAAATAATTTGAAATATTTTGACGGTTAGCTTGGTATATTTGCAAAATATTGAAAAAAATGCTTTCATTTTGCGGTTTTCGCAAATAGTTTTTTTCTGTAATCAAATGTAAAAAAAACAAAATAAATAATTATGTGTCATTGAAACAATGGATTTTAATGCAATACGTTGGCTGGGGGAGATTTGCTCAAATGGAAGAGCGCGCGCTTTACAAGCGCGAGGTAGCGGGATCGATGCCCGCATCCTCCATATTTTTTTCCCTATTCAATCAATTAAACACATTAAATTCTCGAAAATGCGACACAACTTTATTCGTTCAAATTATCAATTTTCTTTTTAACAAACTCGATGAATGGCGATTCTTCCTGTCTTTGTCAGTGTTCGTGTCCTGGAATAATACTCATTCAAGTGTGAAATGTAATGCCGTAACTCTTTTTTCCGGCAACATTTATAAAAGCGCGTTTCCCACGCCGGGAATCGAAACCGGGCCATGGCGGTGAATTCGCCAGATCCTAGCTACTAGACCACATGGGAACTTTCTATGCCTTACGTAACAATATCGTTTTATCTCAAAATTAGCCGTTTCCTCTGATGATTTTGGTACGACACAGCAAGCGCAAAAAAGCAACCACATGATGGTGGTTATTGATTAGGACAGTGCATCCGAGAGGAATTGCATGCGCTAGCGGGGAATCGAACCCCGGTCTTCCGCGTGGCAGGCGAGAATTCTACCACTGAACCATTAGCGCAACACCACATATTGTAGTCAATTTCGGCAATAATCTTACTCCGGATCCGCTGTATGAAGCATATTTTGAATCAACGTATTTTGTTTACAAGAGTTTATTATGCGATGCATTTTCAAAATAATATTAGCTTTACACCTATAAATTAGGTGCCATGCTACACGATTTAAAGTTAGAAATTGAATTTTTAGTTTCGTAAAGAGTGATCTATCTCTTAACAATTGCTGGAAAAGATGTAAGGAAAGCAGCAAATTGGGGCTTAGCTCAAAATGGTAGAGCAGCGCTTAGCATGTGTGAGGTAGCGCGATCGACGACCGCATCCTCCAAAATTTTACGCCTGGGATCTCAAATCATTCTTCAAAAAACCGTTGCTTTCCGTTGAGAGTTTTTTGTAAAATTTTTAAAAATAATATTTATTCCTAATTTTTTAATAATATTATCAAAATTCTGATTAATAGAATTAACTATTGTATCACAAATATTGATTCATCAATAAAGATGCTTGCCGTTATCAGCCTTCGATAGCTCAGTTGGTAGAGCGGGGACTGTAGATAAGTAAAAAAACATCCCTAGGTCACTGGTTCAAATCTGGTTCGAAGGACAGTTGCATGGAAAAGATTTTGAAAAGTATTTTGCTTCCCTAAGTCAAATTTATATATTGGTAATGGAGTAGAATTAAACATATTATGCATATTTATCATAACCTGACAATGAAATGTGGTACGACACAGCAAGCGCAAAAAAGAAACCACATGATGGTGGTTATTGATTAGGACAATGCATCCGAGAGGAATTGCATGCGCTAGCGGGCAATCCAACCCCAGTCTCCCGCGTGGCAGGCGAGAATTCTACCACTGAACCACTAGCGCAACGTTGTATATTGTAGTCAATTTCGGCAATAATCTTACTCCGGATCTGCTGCATGAAACATATTTAAATAAACGTATTTGTTTCACAGGAGTTCAAATGCAAATTAGACAATTTCCCTTCCGGATTTTGATGAGTTTTTAATTCAAAATGGTCCTGGTATGACGGTCCTAGAAATGTTACCGCTCTCTGTGGTTCAGCGTTTGCTTCAAACTTATTACCTATATTCAAATACACATATACTTCGAATATAATTTTGTCATCTTTTGTTACAAGTGTTTGTGTGTTTTTGCATGTTTTTATACTTTTGCTATTTAATGTCGGCTATCTTTAAAACCAGGAACGGGGAATCGAGGAAGGGAACGGGGAAGGGAACGGGGAATGATAAAACCAGGAATGGGAAAAGCCGGAATCTTTAAAACCAGGAATGAGAAAAGCCGGAATCTTTAAAACCAGGAATGAGAAAAGCCGGAATCTTTAAAACCAGGAATGAGAAAAGGCGGAATCTTTAAAACAAGGAATGGGAAAAGCCGGAATCTTTAAAACAAGGAATGAGAAAAGCCGGAATCTTTAAAACCAGGAATGAGAATAGCCGGAATCTTTAAAACCAGGAATGAGAAAAGCCGGAATCTTTAAACCAGGAGTGAGAAAAGCCGGAATCTTTAAAACCAGGAATGAGAAGAGGCGGAATCTTTAAAACAAGGAATGGGAAAAGCCGGAATCTTTAAAACAAGGAATGAGAAAAGCCGGAATCTTAAAACCAGGAATGAGAAAAGCCGGAATCTTTAAAACCAGGAATGAGAAAAGCCGGAATCTTTAAAACCAGGAATGAGAAAAGCCGGAATCTTTAAAACCAGGAATGAGAAAAGCCGGAATCTTTAAAACCAGGAATGGGAAAAGCCGGAATCTTTAAACCAGGAATGAGAAAAGCCGGAATCTTTAAAACCAGGAATGGGAAAAGCCGGAATCTTTAAAAACCAGGAATGGGAAAAGCCGGAATCTTTAAAACCAAGAATGAGAAAAGCCGGAATCTTACGGCCGGAAGTTTGTAACTAAATTAGCTACAATTCCGCGCGTAATACAAAATATGCTAATTTGACATATTTTGCTATATATTATGCTATATTTTCCGTATTTTACCAAATTTCGCAGCCAAACTTAGCATTTCCACTCATTCAAGTACGCTCAATTCTTTTATCTGTTATATGGAACATAAACTGCATTCTTTTGTGGGGGAAGGGATCAAATACATATATAATTAACAAACGATGAAACGAACACAAGGACTGACAATTAAGGTTAGTTTGTAAACAGTTAAATTTGTTGATTTGGTCTCATTCATAAACCTACAAAGTGGAGCTTTGCGCGTTGCTATCTACCGTTTAATATATCTACATTGCTATTGAAATTGAATAATATAATGTTTGGTTGGAAATGAAAACTTTTTGGATCCAAATTTGAATTTCCAAATTTTCATATGAATTGCATACTGCATGATATAAAATATGCAAGAACAACTTCATTAAATACACAATATATTTTATCTTTCTATTTTCAGTACATTGTTTTTACAGCTACTTAATATATATAAATCTATGCGAACAATTTTTCTCCATTTAATACATACATATTAAGCCTATTTTGCAATATATATTTGTCATAGTTCATGGTAACAGCTTTTCATTATTGAATCAGATTACCCCTGAACAATGCACTTTTGTTGTCCCAAATATAACATAATTTTGCTTGTAAGTAAAGTATAGAAAATGGAAGTGCTTTTTGTACCTTAATTTCATAAATTAAACAGTTACAATTTTCACCCAAGGTTTAATGACTGGAGGCTGATTAAAAATATACGAAAATAATCTGTAAGTAACTAAGAGCTGAAATCAATCTTGGCTCTTTGAGAACAACTTTGTGTTGGGATGGAATTTTGGAATATATCCTAGGTCTTGTTTAGAAAAGTATAGCAACCAGCATTTACTTTTACAAATAATTTATTCAAATAAAATGCTTTAGAAGTTGTGTAGGGAAAACCTAGCTGTCGTTTTCTAGGCTAGCATGATTCAATATATGAAAAGCTTTTACTATGAACTATGACT